GGGGGGGGGGGGGGGGGGGGGGGGGTAGGGGGATTATTCCAGTGATAAAACGATACCTTTTATATGTATCTTAATAAAATATTCTGCTTATAGTTTTTCCGAGTTGGACGTTTTTAATTAGTGTTGTTAGTTTTGATCAATGTGATTTATAACAGTCAACATACCCAGAAATTTTTGCTAACAATAGCATTTGAATAGCCTACCTTTTTAGTTCACTAATTGCAAGTGAGAGTGTGGAGATTGCCTCCACACATCAATTCCCATGTGCAGTACATCTTCTATGTGGTGTTTCATGATCAGGGATGGCTATGGGGGCTATTTGGTATCAGTTTGACTGGACTCTTTTAAAAGAACCACATTTACGTGATGTTGAAATTGCATAGTTTTCGTTCAGTTCTGAGACTTTTTTGAATCTTTACCGTTTATTATTTTTTTATTCTTATGAGCATATGATGTGTCGTTTGATGTGAGAGTGTGTTTGTGGGGGGTAGGTGGGGGGGGGGTTGCTGATGTGAAATAAAGTTTGCGTCCTTTTTGTTTCATTGAGGCCGTCTCTGGCATTTTTTTTTTTTTTGGAAATCGAATCTGTACATGACGGCTATTTCCTCGGTTCGCAAAAAAACGCAATTACTGTTTTTGCGCAAAACGGCTGAATTAAGTTATCCTGGGGAACTTTAATTCGATTTAGATGTTTCAGCTCCGAGACACTCCACCTGTCACTAAAACTGTGGGCTTGTAACCTGGTCTTTAAGCTCCACTTGTTCTTCCTCTCGTCAGACTACAAATTATGATCAATAAGTAGAATAAGCAATTCTCAAGCTCTTTGGTAACTCATTTTACCCTTTTCTGACCACTTTACCGTTTAAAATAAGAATTAGAAGAGTTAACCTGTGTCTTGATTAACATAAAGCACTGTAAGATATCACTAAATTTGTTATTGAACGTTGTTCTAGAAACAAATCGGAATTCATTCCCGGAAATTCACAGTAGTAACAGGAACATTGATCACCTATGCTGTACCCACTGGGCGAGCTTCAGAAAGCCAGACGGTATCATTTATGATCCTTATTGATCAGATGGTCATAAAAATTGCATTGTTGTGTAGACAGTAACTTTGACTTCTAAACATAAAAAATGCTATTTCATGTTTTTAAATTAAATTCTTCATGCTACCCGCAAATGGCCAAGGTAAGCAGCAAAAGCAAAATTACGAAACAGTAGCAACAAGTATATTAGCGCATTAGATCATATTCAAATGTTATTTTGTGCTTTGTAAATAATAAATTATTACTATTATATTATAATAATTATTATTTGGTCCCCCGGGGGGTACTCCCTTATACATTGTATAAGCAGTATTTCCACCGCACTTTTGCTACCCAACGTGACTGTTCGAGGGTAGCAATAATTTATACAAGACAAACTAAACGTAATATTACAACTTAAGCTGGAGAATAAAGTTTCTACAACAAAAGCAAATGATTTATTAAGAGTTCTTCAGTTTACATATTGATGAAGTTTTCTGAAAAGTTGTATAAGTACATAGGCAGCTGTGCTACGAAGTACAACCTTTGGTGTACCCTTCCCATATTAATATGACTCAAACCCGGGTTCTGTTGGGCCTCGTTGTAGATCAGAGAACTTGGGACAGCATGGGAGCTTTCATAGTTTGAAAGACAGGTTAAATCAATCAATGCTGGAAAGAAAATTTAGCTACCGTGGTTCTTTGCACTTGCAGTTCTTAAAATGTTTCTAAGAATAGTTTTAACGCATTTTTTTATAGCTAAATCTTTTAATAAGTTGATTCTTTTTAATCTGCTTTAAGCAATGCTACTGTAAAGGAACACTTTTGAGACATTGTACGCTGTTTCGATTCCCACCGGAATTGTTTAGTGATGATTTCATTGGTTATGTTTCAAAAACTTTTATTATTTCAGTTCAGAGTTAATTCTCTGTTTGATTATTGATGCCATAAGTTCCACTTGACATTACGTTTAATTTGGGCTTCAAATAATAAAGAATTTGATGAAAGGAGGAACCTCTACTAGAGCTATGACCAGGTCGCGAGGTCAATTGTGGTGCGTACAGCGTGCGTCAAGAGCTGAAACATCTAAATCTCAATATTGTTGCAAAAACATTACTTTCTTCTTTTAGCATAAGATTAAATGGATATATTTCAACACTGAGTGCGGTTTTTCAACAAAAGCAAATAAATGGCTTGTATGGAGTTCCAAATTTTTCGCATGGCAAAAATAAAAAGAAGTTAAATAACCCCTGCCGCGCCCTCAACCCC